CAGCATCGGACTTTCCTTTCACTTCCAGGCACGTCAACAGCTGAGCGTCCTTTCAGCTTTGGCCCAACCACTTCATTAGCTCTGGAACTACTTGTACTTGTCCTACGCTCTTCCTCAGTATAATGTTGGACGTCTTCCGACCTGAGGGTCCCATCTTCCAGCATCATATCTTTTAGCCTTTTGTTTCTGTTCATGGGGTATTCTTGGCAAAGATACTGGAGTATCTTTTTAGGTAAATTAAACTAGATATAAGGTTGGGGCATGGATCTGGAACTACTTTTATTAAGAATGTTATTATAAGATCTTGAGAATATTGTACACTCTGAAAGTAATATTATGATAGTAGCCAATATTATATACTAAAATACGTACATGAATGGTTTGAATGTCTGAAAGATGTCTGGAATTTGGGGGGACAACTTGGAAGATACTGAGATATAAAAAAGAAATAATTGTATGCAAATCGTGCAACATGATGTTTGACAAGCACAAATCAAATGTAGATAGAGTGAAAAAGTAATAAAATGTATTTAAAAAAAGATTCATCAAGTAGGCCTGAACCATGAAGAACAAAACAGTGCAAGGGGTGAAGCTAGGGTCTCCTCTGCAAGGAGGTTCACAATGCTGGATTGTAGAATGCCTGAATAGTATTTTGTCTCTCCTTCGAAAGTGAACATTAACAATTCTTAGCTTCCAACAGAAATTCGGCTGGCACCGTCGGTCTCTCCTTGGAAAGTGAACATTAAAAATTCTTAGCTGTTGCTAAGAAAATTCGCTTTTCTTAGCAGCAGCTTAAAAGTGATACAATGCATTTTACCTTCTGAGAGCAGCTTAACAGTGATACAATGCATTTTACCTTCTGAGAAATCTGCTTTCTCATTTTGGGGCACATGTAAAGCTTGCACTCACTTTTGCAAATGATGTTAGGTGTTTGTTAGGGTGTAGATTAAACCTCCCTGTTATGCCTCATCATTTTCCTGTATGTTGTAGATTTTACAGAAATATCAATGTTGTAATTTGCAAATTTGCTATGTTGTAGTATGGTATAGTGGACAGAGTGATGGAAGAGGATTCAAGAGGTGTGGGTTCACATCCCCAATCAGCCATGTAAATTCACTGGTGGTGTGGTAGAGGTAAAACCACTCCTAAATATCCCACATTCCTTGAAAACCCTACTAGGCTCACTATAAGTCAGTTCTGTCTTGATAGTATACAGCAACAGCAGGATTAAGCATGAAGGAGATCCTTAGTTATGTGCTGTCAGGTCCGAACCTACTTCTAGCAGCCCTAATAGGGCTCCAGTGAGTTTCCATGGCTGAGCAAGAAATTCGAACCTGGTCTCCAGAGCGCTATTCCATTGCTCTGTCCACAACACCACACTGCGTACCTAAAATCCATCAGGTTGGAACTGATGTACAGCAACCTTAATGGGGTTTTCAAGGTAGGTTTTTAGGGAGTAGTTTTACCAGTTCCATGCCCCAGTGAATTTCCATAGCTGAGTAGGGATTCAAACCCAGGCTTTATCCACTGCACCACACTGGGTGTCCACAATCCCTAATCCTGTTTGGGCACTACTCAGCATTATGAACATGGTCAGAGGGAAGATGATACCATCTGGCTTGCACAGCATAAACTTGCACTAATGTACAAATCCAGCACACATAAAAGTATTTCAGCCGTTATCTATTGCTCATACAAAATTTTATTTCCCATGGAAATAATCTCTGCATCCTCTGATGATGGCCGCAATTATGTTGCGCAGCATAGTGGCTTGCACTAAAGTAGGTCCATTGAATCAATGAGGAGTCAGTAAATCAAGCCCTCCATTGATTCAAATGAGTCTAACTGAGACTATGCCAAAGTAGGTCACAACCTGAGTAGGCCCATGTGAATCAGTGGAACTTATGGAGGACTTGACTCACCAAATCTTCACTGATTCTGTTAGCTCACTCTAGTGTGACTCGCTGCACTAAGCCACAAGATTTCATCCAGTGTGTCAGTTTAGTTAACAGGGTAGTGTTTCAGACACAGTTGAACGACTTATTTACAGAAATAGGCTCTATTTTTTGTTTGTTTTCCCCAGTTTGCTACTACAGTCATTTTGGAATCCACTTTGATATCCGATTAGTTATCACCTCCTTCTACTTGTATATAACTCACAAAATTACCGTACTTTGGGGCACTGTAGTATTAGTACCAAGCAGATCATTTATAAACTCAGACAGGGCTGCCAAAAGAACTGGTGGTGGTGGTTGTTTCAGACAAGATTCCTTTTGTGATTCTTTGTTGCATGTGAATTGGATGGCTTTACTTGCAAGCTGTAATCCAGGGGTGGGCAAAATGCGGCCCTCCAGATGTTGTTGAACTGCAGCTCCCATAATTCCTACCCCACACAGCCAGTAGTGAGGACAGTTGAGCCTAGCCCACACAGCCAATAGTGTGAGGAGAATTGGGCCTAACCCACACAGTGAGGAATGTTGGGATTTGCAGTTCAGGAACATCTGGAGGAGGGCCGCACTTTGCCCAGGTCATCCAAGTGGTGGTTCTTTAATTTGTTAATTAAAGATTCTCTATTTGGATTGCCAGTTGCATATAAAGCCATCTGAGTTGTGTGTGTGTACCTTAATTAGTGGCAATCTGCCTTTACAGCATACAGTATATCATACAGTTTTGGCCATTACTGCTAATTTAGGAGGTATAAGTCATCACTGAAAAAATACTGTGCAAAAAATCTCAAACTAATTGAAATTAATTTTGAATCTACACTTTCACAAATTCACTTCTATTCTGTTTGACGCATATTCAACCACAAATCCTTTCCCCACTTTTTATGTATGTATATTCCACCCATCTAGTAACAGAGCACAAATATGGCAGATAGTTTCAATAATAAACATAATAACCCTCCCACAACATAAACACAAGAATAATTTTTAAAAACTCAACGATAAGAAAACTTTGGCAACGGCAGCAAAACTCAAATTAAAACATTTTCTCATACAACTCGAGGAAGTGGTATTCAAATCTAGTAACAATTAATCAGTCTGACATCACTCCCCCAGAATCAGATTTTCAGTTTTTATCAGCTCAGACTCTGTCTTTGATCAAATCTCTAGCGGTTGCTATAGTTCTAAAAGCTGGAAATGCTGGGGCTCTCTCTCACAGACACATTTATAATTACCTTGTAGTTTAAAGGTCTGTTGATCTTTTCTATGTTGGAACATCTAGAGATAGAGTTTTCTGTCAAATAGCTGGCTAGAGAGTTCCATGTATGGGTGTACCTGGCTGCAGAGCCAAAGTTCAAACCCCCCCCCCTGCATTTCTGAGGAAAAGAGCCAGCCTGAGTAGCATTGGGCAAGCTACACAAACCCAAGGCACTCCCTGAAGAAGAGAATAGCCAACACCCCAAGTATTCTATACCAAGCCAGCCTGAGTAGCACTGGGCAAGCTACACAAACCCAGGGCACTCCCTGAAGAAGGGAATAGCCAACACCCCAAGTATTCTATACCTAGAAAACCCTAGTAAGGGTTCCTGTAAGTCAGAATTGTGTAAAGAATTTCTGTGCATTTTTATCATTTCTGTGAAGAAAATGACAAATAATAAATTTGCAGGACAAGATAGCTTGCCATTGGAGTTTTATTTTTTAAAATATAAAATTAAGTTCCTACCGATGAAAGTAATTAATGAAATTGTTCCTTTCCAGCCGCATGGAAGGAAACTACGATAATTGTAATGCATAAACTAATAAAAAAAATCAAACACTGCTCAGTTCTTATATAGACCAATATGTTTTTAATAATTATTTTAAAACCTGGTCATCTGTTATTGCTATAAGACTGGATAAGATCATGGCTAAATTTGGCTCAGAAAGCATGTCTTATAAATCAATTCATTGTACAGTCATAGACCCAACAAAATTTGTTATAAAGGGAAATTATCAAGCAAATTGTTATAGCATAATTGCTTGCCACACCCTCCTCTACCTACAGATACTAACTCTGAAGGAAACCAGTCACATGGTAATGTGGTAATAATAGTTATGTGGAAATGTATTGCTCATAAGGAGAGCAATTGCCCTTAATGTCAGCAATGAAGCACAGACTTTAATAGAGGAAGAACTGGGCCAGATTTAGCAACAAGCACTCCAAGGCCAAATCTTCCCATATAGAATCTGGCAAAATGACTTACTCAAGTCAGCCTGTTAATCAGAGTAGCCACTGATGGTCAGTCACAGTCCAAAGACATGCTGTAAAACAGTATTTCCCAACTTGGGAGTCATAACCCTTTAAGGGTGTCACAAAATGTTTTCTAAGGGTCACCTCTTGTAGCCCTTGTTAAATAATTTCTTCTTTGACCTATTGGAGAGGGATATTAAAGTGAGCCTGTATTTATTTGTATAGGAAACAAGCCCCTTGTAGTGTGTAGAATCGTCTTTTTCACGGCATGTGCAAGCATCTGTGTCCACATTACAGTGCATTATATTAGTGTTGGAACGGGTGAAAATGCATCCTCAAATGCAATTATGTTGCTAAGAACCTTCGCCCTCAATACTCTAATGAACTTTTCCCTTCCTGGTCAAGTGTAGAGTTTTCATACTCGCTATAAAAACTTGTTCATTATTACAGTATTCAAAGGTCACTCTGAGCGTACACATGGGCCAGCAGTTTGGGATCAAAAAGGATCTCTTGTTCATTGAATGCCTGTCTTCTAAATTTGAAAGAGACATCTTTACAAGATCAGGTAAGTTCAAACGATGGGATGATTTAGCTGCATTGTTTTGCCCTTGCTTACCACACTCAGGATCAAAGACATGCCTGATAACGGAAAGTAGATTGGCTCCTTCTCTGTTGTCGTCCCACTAACAGACAAAGTTCATTTTAGTCAAGTTGCCTTGACAGCATGTCAAGTGGTCTGTTACTGATCGGGGGCTTCTTCCTCATTCATGTCAGAAGCAATCCAATGGTACTTCTGGAG